CAAGCCTTAGTTCTAAAGGGCTGAGTAATTTGTAAGTAACAGTTTACAGGTAAAAGTAATTAAGAATGTTTGTTTGATTCACCTCTGCCTGAATACCAGCAGAATAATAATAATAATAATAATAATAATAATAATAATAATAATAATAAACTTTATTTATATACTGCTCTATCTCCCTGAGGGGGACTCAGGGCGGTTTCCACATAACATCACCAAAACATACAAAGTAAATAGAATAACATAAAATTAACAAAACAACATAAGCATAAAATTATCACAATAACACATGTATATTAAAAATAATCCTGTCATCGTGACAGGGTCTTAGAGCAAGATGGTTCTGCAGCTGAAAGAATGGAGGGGATTTTGGAGCAAGATAATGTGGCAAGGGATAGATTGCAGTTGGGTGTTACTGGATTTAAGGAGCTAACCTTGGGGCTGATCTTTGGGAATATTTGTCTTATTTTTGGTGGTAGATGCTGCTGGTTTCCCCCCAGGTTTCTGGATTTTCAGTGTCCTGATCTGTCACTTGAACCCTGGAACCTTGAATCTTTGGACTGGCTTTTGACTATTGTATAGACCAGGGGTCCTCAAACTAAGGCCCGGGGGCTGGATATGGCCCTCCAAGGTCATTTACCTGGCCCTTGCTCATGGTCAACCTAAGTCTGAAATGAATTGAAAGCACACAACAACAACAACAACAATCTTATCTCATCAGCCAAAAGCAGGCCCACACTTCCCATTGAAATACTAATAATGTTATATTTGTTAAAATTGTTCTTCATTTTAATTATTGTATTGTTTTTTAAAAAATTGCACTACAAATAAGATATGTGCAGTGTACATATGAATTCAGTCATGCTTTTTTCAAATTATAATCTGGCCCTCTAACAGTTTGAGGGATTGTGACCTGGCCCTCTGTTTAAAAAGTTTGAGGACCCCTGGTATAGACTCTTGATCCCTGGACTTTGCTCACTGAACTCTCAGCATTTGACCACCGGACTGGCCTCTTTGACTACGGTGTAGCAGTTGCAATCAGATTTAGTTTTATATTCTGTGGCTGGGTGCTGGGTGCTATCTTTATGTTTTATATTTTGGACTAAACAACCAGAAAGTAAGTGCTGCTTTAATTAAACTGTTTGATACAAACTGGGTGTTTGTTTGATTCACCTCTGCCTGAATACCGGCAGAGCCCTGGCATTGTGACTGTGGAACCCTGGCTGCACAGTCTCCTACAGACCCACTGCCAGTACACCAATCTTGGAAGACAATCCTACTAGGACAATGAGGGATCGCCTTAGTGAAGTGACAGCTAGTTGAAAATAAATAAAGGTATTCTGCCTTGATAAAAGTAGCTTCTTATGATTCATGCTAAAAGGTAGCAGAATAGTTTTCTGTGTGCTTATTCAGAAGTAAACAGAATTAATTCATCCAGCAGCATTCCCAAATAGCTTCCCCAGAATCAGGGGTCTTCATGGATACCCAGAAATAAATGTGTCTGTACATTCCACAAAAAATGCATGCCAGGGTAAATGATCCAGCTAAGCATTCCACACTGGATTCGGCTGCTAATGGTTCTGTTAGCAGAGGTGTCCACTTAACAATGGTCACGTCTCTGTAGTAGGCATTCTGAGTATTTTTTCCCCCTGCCGCACTGCAAAGATCCACTTCGGTGTGATTTCAGAGTGCTTTTGCAGGGGCCTGATGAAGGGCAGCTCCACAAAGTACCTAATCAAATCCAGACAAAAAAAATTGATGCCTTTCAGAAATCTGAAACCTGTATTGAACAGTAAATAACATCAAAAGGAGCCCAAGCTATTGTTATGTAATCCCCCAATCAAGATTTGCTTCAGATGGAGGAAACTGTTCCCGACAAATTATTCTGTATAACATCAAAATCCTGGGAGAGATGTTCCAATCCTACCAATAGTATACTTTTTGATGTTTCTCTCAAACTGGAATGGAGATTGTCTGGCAAAGAGCAGACAATATAAATTAGTTTGTATGAACAAGGAATAGGAAAGCAGGCCAATAAGGCCATCAACAACATGTAAGAACCACAAGATTAAGGCAAAATAATAATAATAATAATAATAATAATAATAATAATAATAATAATAATAATAGTTCTGTCGCGCGCTGGGCCTGTAACAGCTGTCTTTTCTATAGGATGTATACTTTAAGCCCAGCTGGAAGCCAGGGGGCCTCAAAGAGAGATTCTTACTTAGGTGATCCCTCGTAGTCCGAGGAATATGGTCCTCCAAGGTTGGCGTCCTGGCAGTGTGTTCGTAGGTGACTGTGGAGCCCTATTCTTGACCTGCATGTTCTCCCGCAGTGAGGGCATCAGTTTCCAGATGGAAGGTGGTCCCGGTCAGGGTTGGCTTGACGCGCCTTCCTCTTGGCACTTGGATGCTCATTGGAAGGAAGGATGTTAGTGGCAAAGGTGAAGTATTTTGGCCACATCATGAGAAGACAGGAAAGCTTAGAGAAGACAATGTTGCTGGGGAAAATGGAAGGCAAAAAGAAGAGGGGCTGACCAAGGGCAAGATGGATGGATGGCATCCTTGAAGTGACTGGCTTGACTCTGAAGGAGCTGGGAGTGGTCACGGCTGACAGGGAGCTCTGGTGTGGGGTGGTCCATTATTATTATTATTATTATTAAACTTTATTTGTACCCCGCTAGCATCTCCCGAGGGACTCGATGTGGCTTGCAAAGGCCAAGACCTTAACACAACAGCAGTAAAACACAAAACAATACAAAACAAAGCAAATTAAAAACATAAGCAATAGCAAGACATTACACTATTACACAATAAAAACCATGGCCAGGCCAGTGACGGGTACAGGTTAAAAAAGTGCTGGGTGTGACAGGAGGTATATTGAGATTCTGGGCAAGTGCCATGTGCAGAGAGTCTTAAACTCTAGTAAAGTGCTTCTGGGACAAAGTGCTGGGTCATCCTATTCTGGAAAGGCACGTCGGAATAGCCAGGTCTTTAAATTCTTCCTAAAGACTGCCAACGTGGGTGCTAGTCTAATGTCTTTGGGGAGGTCGTTCCAAAGTCGGGGGGCAACCACAGAAAAGGCCCTGTCCCTCGTCCCCACCAAACGCGCATGCGACGCAGGTGGGATCGCAAGCAGGGCCTCTCCAGATGACCGAAGGGAGCGTGTGGGTTCATAAACGGAGATGCGGTCACGAAGGTAGGCAGGTCCCAAACCGTTTAGGGCTTTGTAGGTAAGCACCTGCACCTTGAATTGGGTCCGGAAAATGAATGGCAGCCAATGGAGCTCCTTGAACAGGAGGGTTGACCTCTCTCTGTAAGGACCATGAGGCCACGAAGAGTCAGAAGCAACTGAATGAATCAACAACAGTAAACAAAGATCCCAGAGGAAAAGTGTTCCTGCCATACATCAAGGGAACCACTGACCGCATAGGGAAGCTGATGAGGAAACACAACATACAAACAATCTACAAACCCACCAAGAAAATCCAACAAATGCTACGTTCAGCAAAGGACAAGAGGGATCCTCTCACTTCTGCAGGAGTCTACCGTATACCATGCAGCTGTGGACAAGTCTACATAGGGACCACCAAACGCAGCATTGCCCAAATACGAATCAAGGAACATGAAAGGCACTGCAGACTACTTCAACCAGAGAAGTCAGCCATAGCAGAGCACCTGATGAACCAGCCTGGACACAGCATATTATTTGAGAACACAGAAATGCTGGACCACACCAACAACCACCATGTCAGACTACACAGAGAAGCCAGTGAAATTCACAAGCATGTGGACAATTCAACAGAAAGTAGGAAACCATGAAAATGAACAAAATTTGGCTAACAGTATTAAAAACTCTAAAATTACATCAGCAAAACAGCAGAGAGGAAACAACCAGGCACATCTTAACACCTCTCAACAAAGGATTTTCCCAGGCTCAGCCAGGCCTTCAAATGCTAATCAAGGTGGTCAGTTGAAACATTCACACCTAGCTCCAGCAGAGAAGAGCTCTTTGCCCCACCCCAGCCATTCCACAGAGATATAAACCCATTGTCCTAATTCCAACAGACCTCACTACCTCTGAGGATGCTTGCCATAGATGCAGGCGAAACGTCAGGAGAAATGCCTCTAGAACATGGCCCTATAGCCCGAAAAAACCCACAAGAACCTAGTGATTCCAGCCATGAAAGCCTTCAACAATACAAAGATTCTGATCTTGGGTAATCAAGGACTTGGCTGTCAATAAAAGAGTCATCAAACACACATACTTTTAAGATTCTATTTCTGTGAAGGAGTGGCAGACAAAACTGTACCAACATTTGGAGTGTATCTGACTGGCAAATAAAGTCACCTATCTTCACACACACAATGAATCTGATGATTATCTGGCTTGGAAAACAGCCAGTGGGATTTGCCCAACCTTTTCCATTCCCATGAGATTATCTGAACAGGGTCACAGAGGGGTGGTTGTTTCTAAATTACATTTCGATACATGTCTGTCTAAGAATCAATTTATATACATTTCATATATAAGAAATAAATACAGTACACAGCTGAAAGATACAAGTTACACAAAATCGTAAAGATGATGCAGTTTATTGAAGGGTTTGAAGCTATAGAGTTTAGGGGTTTACAGCTGATGGTGGTCCAGTCTCGATCTTCAGATGCTTTGAACTTGTGCAAGACTGGAAAGAAATTTTTTAAAGGAAAAAATTATATATTTATTTCTAAGCCCTTGGGAAACTATAAATCTTCCAGGAGGAGGGTTACTGTGGCTCAATACATTATGGCACAGAAAGTGGAGTTGAGCCTTTTAAATTGATCCTGCAGACTTGGAAAATGGGAAGGAAACTGTCTCCTATGTGAAGAGAGGAGACACACACACACCTCCCTTTCTAGTGTGTCTCTTCCACTCAGCTGTGAGTCCTCTTCCCTCCTTTCAGCTCCTGAGAGAGAGAGAGAGGAGGAGCTGCAAACAGCCTATTCTCAGCTACACTCAGACAAGGACATCAACAGGCACTCCTCTGAAATAAGCTGAAAGTGCCGGCAGCTTCTCTCAAATCCAGGTTAAATCAGCCCCTTCTTTTGTGTTGCTGTTGATCTCAAAACTGGAAGACTACAAAAATCTTTGGGGAGAGACTATCTTCACTGTCCCTAGTCCCAGGGACAGTCTCTGCAAAGAGAGTATTCAGGAAGCCAACAGGTCTTCATACTGGAGAAGAAGTCTGTGGACCAAGGGCAAGGATTTTGAGCTGCTATCTCCACTGGAACACCTAGCTTTCTTGCAAAACACAAGAGGGTCTGGACAGTCCTGAGCTGAGGGAGCATCCTATGAAGTGATCCTGCTCCATGGCGGAGTCCGAAACCAATGGCACCACCTGCAGCCTCAATGACTTTAGGTTCCAGCAGGCCAACGCTTCCTCTTGCTGGCCTACCATGTCCGGAGGTGGACCTGAGACAGTGATTGTTCCTGTGCTGTTTGGACTGATCTTCCTTCTGGGCTTGGTGGGGAATACACTGGTACTGGTGGTTCTAGGCCGCCTTCGTCCAGGAAGACGACCGTCGCGCAGTGCCACCAACATCTTCATCCTCAATCTGAGCATCGCTGACATCTCCTTCCTCCTCTTCTGCGTCCCTTTCCATGCCACCATCTATTCTCTGCCTGAGTGGATCTTTGGCGCTTTCTTCTGCAAGTGGGTGCACTACCTTGTCATGGCCACCATGCTGGTCAGCATCTTCACCCTGGTGGCCATGTCGGTGGACCGGTACATTGCTGTAGTGCACGCTAAGCGCTCGCTCTGGATCCGCAGCAAACGCAATGCCACTCTTGGTGTGGGAGTCATCTGGCTCCTGTCCCTCCTCATTGCCATCCCGGTGGCTCAGCACCAGGTCCTTGTGAGTGAGCAGCCCCAGGCGCCCAACAGATCCTTCTGCTGGGAACACTGGGCTGAGAACCCGGGCGCTAAGCAGGTCTACAAGGTGACCATCTTGGTGATGGGTTACCTGCTGCCTCTGGTACTCATCTCTTGCTGCTATGCCAAGGTGGGTGGTGATGGTGGAGTGATAGTGATCATGATGAGGAAGAGAGGATACAGACCCACCTGAGATTGTTGTACCCAAATCTTTTGTGGCTTAGTATGGGGATGGGCAAAGTGCCACCTTGGGGCTATTTATGGGCCTCAACTCCAACAGTTTCCCTGGACCTGCCCTTTTCTGCCCGCTCAAAAGTTGAAGTTTCTAGAAGTGCCAATCTACCATTGGAATAGGTTGCAATTTTCCAAAAAGTGCCCATTTCTCAAATTGGAACAGTGACCTCTGGCAACTTCCATTGTTTGATTCATTGGTCATGATTTTTAAAAGAATTTTTTATTGTATAATACTTAGAAACATACAATCTTCAAAATTAGCAGTCAAAATACCAGTATTTTTTTCCCATCCTACCACCACCACAACCCCCCCCCCCCGTACCCAGGAACAGTTAACTACTTTTGCAGTGCTTATTACAATTGTTCAATCATGAGGATAGTCTTATTTAATTCCATATATTTATCTTTTCCCTTTATTCTGTAAATGAGACCCTTCCATTTTGCCTCCCATGTCCTTCTGATTTGGCTCGTCCTATAGTAACTTTTCCTTTCACTGATATAACCTTGGAGTAGGTAGTCGGCTAGATATTTATACCAAGTTTTTATATCCCATTTCTTCCAGCCTAGGGCCACTGAGGCTTTGATTGCATCCATCATGTGTTTTATTATTTCCTCCCATTCTTTAAATTCCCCTTTACTTTCTAATTTCTGAGTGAAAAATTGAGTCTTGTTCCATTCTATGTTTATCTCTAATAGCTCCTCCATTTCCTTCTTAATTATTTCGTGAAACTTTTGTATTTTTTCGCATTTCCACCAGATGTGGGTGCATGTTCCTGTTTTTCCGCAGTTGTGCCAACATAATTTTGGGTATATTTTCATAATATGTGCCAATTGCATGGGAGTTCTGTACCATTTTGTCAGTATTTTCAGTTGCATTTCTTTAATCTTTAAATGTTTTATTTTTTATTGATTTCATCCAATTGTCTATTTCTTTCTCGCTGCAACTTAATTCTTCCTTCCAGACTTCTGTTAGGGTAGATTTTGTTTTATATTGTATTTCCGTGATTATTTTGTATACTAGCCGTCCCTTGCCATGCATTGCTGTGGCCCAGTCTGGTGATCTGGAAAATAAAGTAATGAGAAAGTGTTGGTTTCTAATATATGTAATTTCTTTATGTTTGTGGGTAAACAGTATTTCTTGTTGTATTGCCGAAGGCTTTCATGGCCGGAATCACTCAGTTCTTGTGGGTTTTTTCGGGCTATATGGCCATGTTCTAGGGGCATTTCTCCTGACGTTTCGCCTGCATCTATGGCAAGCTTCCACAGAGGTGAGGTCTGCCATAGATGCAGGCGAAACATCAGGAGAAATGCCTCTAGAACATGGCCATATAGCCCGAAAAAACCCACAAGAACTGAGTATTTCTTGTTGTTTCTTTGTCAGTGTTGATGTGGAGAGTGTCTGATTTGCCTTATCTGGAACATGCAACATATAATTTTCCTTCTTTAGGGGTCCCTTTCAAATCTAGGATACTATATCTGTGTGTGTGTGAATCATATAGATCTAGTATCTATATCTATGGCTGGATGGCTCTTGGTCAGGAGGGCTTTGTTTACATTTTCCTGCCCTGGTAAAAGGGTGTTGTACTGGATGACATTAAGTATTTTCTGTTGGCCATGGGGGTTCTGTGTGGAAAGTTTGCCCCAATTCTGTCGTTGGTGGGATTCAGAATGCTCTTTGGTTGTAGGTGAACTATAAATCCCAGTGACAACAACTCCCAAATGTCAAGATCTATTTCCTCCAAACTCCATCTGTGTTCATATTTGGGCATATGGAATATTCTTGCCAAGTTTGGTCCAGTTCTATCATTGTTTAAGTCTTGATGTAGGGGAACTACAACTCCCAAACTCAAGGTCAATGCCCACCAAACCCTTCTAGTGTTTTCTTTCGGTCATGGGGGTTCTGTGTGCCAAATTTGGTTCAATTCGATCATTGGTGGAGTTCAGAATGCTCTTTGATTTTAGGGTAACTATAAATCCCAGCAACTACAACTCCCAAATGACAAACTCAATTTTTTGAGTGAAGATCACTTCTTGGGTTATTAGGTGTCTTGTGGCCAAATTTGGCGGCAATTCGTCCAGCGGTTTTTGAGGTATGTTAATCCCACAAACGTACATTACATTTTTTTACATAGATAAATCCCATGATTCCTTTCTCCTTCTCAACTTGCAATTTTATTATTTTGTCAATTTTTGTTTCTGAGATTTCCTTAGTCTTCAATTCTGTTAGCTTTTTAGACAGCCCTCCCCACTGTAACCAATTTCCGAGCCCACATTTATCTTTTATTTCCTCCCATTGCATTACAGTTCCGTCTGGTTTCAATAAGTCCTCAATCTTTGTTAGTCCATTCTGTTAGCATATTTCGATATGGATGGGGTTTTCTGTTCTCTATGGAACCTGTTGGGAGCTTGTCTATTTTATTTGGTGGGAGTTTGTTTTGCCGATTCATTGGCCATGTACTTGGGTGCCCACCAATAGTAGGATCAGAAAATAGGGTCCCAAACCAGGGTTAGTTACCTACACGTGTTTTATCATTGAACTCAGAGTGCTTGGATAAGTTTCAGCTTTCAATTAGGAGAGTTGATTATGAAAAAGGCAGAACTCCTGAGAATGGGCAGAGCACCTTATCACCAACCATAGACATGGGCATCAGTTATGGAGTAAGCCAAGATGATACCAGTCTTTTGATTTTCCAGGCTACAGCAATGTGAAGCCAGATATTTATTTTTATTTGTCATGTCAGGGCAACCAGTCAATTATATTACATTTCTAACAGAACAAAGCAAACAAACAAACAGACAAAATACAAAATGTGTTAGTTTGGTAGTTGATTAAATGTCCTTTGACCAGTATCTGGCCACTTGGAGTGCTTCTGGTGTTGCTGCAAGAAGGTCCTCCATTGTGCATGTGGCAGGGCTCAGGTTGCATTGCAGCAGGTGGTCAGTAGTTTGCTCTTCTCCACATTCACATGTCGTGGATTCCACTTTGTAGCCCCATTTCTTGAGATTGGCTCTGCATCTTGTGGTGCCAGAGTGCAGTCTGTTCAGCACCTTCCAAGTTGCCTAGTCTTCTGTGTGCCCAGGGGGGAGTCTCTCATTTGGTATCAGCCATTGGTTGAGATTCTGAGTTTGAACCTGCCACTTTTGGACTCTCGCTTGCTGAGGTGTTCCAGCAAGTGTCTCTGTAGATCTTAAAAAGCTATTTCTAGATTTAAGTCGTTGACGTGCTGGCTGATACCCAAACAGGGAATGAGCTGGAGATGTCACTGCCTTGGTCCTTTCACTATTGGTTCCTACTTCCCGGCGGATGTCAGGTGGTGCAATACCAGCTAGACAGTGTAATTTCTCCAGTGGTAGGGCGCAGACACCCCGTGATAATGTGGCATGTCTCATTAAGAGCCACATCTACTGTTTTAGCGTGGTGAGATGTGTTCCACACTGGGCATGCATACTCAGAAGCAGAGTAGCATAGCGCAAGGGCAGATGTCTTCACTGTGTCTGGTTGTGATCCCCAGGTTGTGCCAGTCAGCTTTCGTATGATATTGTTTCTAGCGCCCACTTTTGCTTGATATTCAGGCAGTGCTTCTTGTAGGTCAGAGTACGGTCCAGAGTGACTCCCAGGTATTTGGGTGTGCTGCAATGCTCCAGTGGGATTCCTTCCCAGGTAATCCTCAGAGCTCAGGATGTTTGTCTGTTCTTAAGGTGAAAGGCACATGTCTGTGTTTTAAATGGGTTGGGGATCAGCTGGTTTTCCCTGTAATAGGCAATAAGAGCACCTAGAGCTTCAGAGAGCTTCTGTTCTACCATCTCAAAGTCAGTTCAGCCTGTCATTGTGTCTGATGTTCATGATGGAAATGGGGATGATGTTCATACTGGTGGGACTACATCAACAGAATAATCCTATATAAGTGACCATGTGTCATTCCAGAAACGGTGACAGACAGAGACGCTGCTCACCCGCTATGCTCTGCTCCATGGGAAAGACAGAGATAGTGTATTCAGAGAGTGGCAGATTTGCAAGGGAGCAGTCTGATCACTTTGGGGCTACTTACTCAAGGGAAGAGGAAGGAGTGCATTTTGGAGTCTTAGATTTTGTGCAGGGAGTCAGTTCCTGCTGTATGGAAAACAAGAGAGTTGGTCCTTGCCATTGAAGAGAAGTTTTGAATTTTTGGAGTCCTGGATGTTTTGAAACTATGCATTGGCAGGCTGCAGGAAAGCAGGGTCTGGCCCAACAGGTGTTCTCCCCCAAGGAGGGAGAAAAGTAAATGGTAATATTTGGGCACATGAGGATGGATGCATGCACATGTGGTGTGAATGCAGAGTAAAAATATAATTTTTTTGTTTGTTTGTTAGCCAATGTCATAGGTGTTTGCAAAACCAATGTAGTTGCATAGAATCAGTATGTCTGTATGTCCAATGCCGTTCTTTATAAAAATGTTGTTCTATAAAAATTCTGATACCTATCGCCCAATTTCCATTTTGAACGTTGATTATAAAATATTTACAAACATATTAGCAGAGAGATTAAAGCAATTTTTAAAAGGATGGATTAAAGAAGAACAATCAGGATTCCTACCGCAGCGTCAAATTAAAGATAATGTAAGGACCATAGTGAACATAATTGAACACTACGAAAAAAAACGACAAAGAATGCGCCTTACTAGCATTAGACGCCGAAAAGGCTTTCGACAGGGTAAATTGGGACTTTTTCCTCGCACTCATGCAAGAGATTGACATGGGTTTCCACTTCATAAACTCAATAAAAGCTATATACATTACCCAGGAAGCTAAAATATGTATAAATGGGCAGACTACAGAAAAGATAAACATACAAAAAGGAACTAGGCAAGGATGCCCGTTTTCACCTCTCCTGTTCATAATGACCCTGGAAATTCTATT